TCAAGAAGCTTACCTCAGAGTACAATGGAACCTCGATCAGATGGGCCAATGGGCCGAGCAGTGCCAGATGGAATTTAATTTAGATAAATGTGCGGGTACTGCATTTTGGAAAGGCAAATCAGGGCAGGACTCACACACTTAATGGTGAGGTCCTGGGGAGTGTTGCTGAATAAAGAGACCTTGGAGTGCAGGTTCATAGTTCCTTGAAAGTAGAGTCACGGGGAGATAGGATAGTGCAGAAGGCATTGAGTATTCAATTCTGGGTCTTCTTGCTATAGAAAGGATGTTCTGAAACTTGAAAGGGTTCAGAAAAGATTTACAAGAATGTTGCCAAGGTTGGAGCGTTTGAGTTATAGGGAGAGGCTGAATAGGCTGGGGCTCTTTTTCCTAGGGCATTGGAGGCTGAGGGGTTGCCTTTTATAAGTTTATAAAATCATGAGGGGCATGGATAGGGTGAATAGCCAAGGTCTTTCTCCCAGGATCAGGAAGTTCAAAACTAGAGGGCATAGGCTTAAGGTGAGAGGGGAAAGATTTAAAAGAGACCTAAAGGACACTTTCACACAGCGGGTGATGCGTGTGTGGAACGAGCTGCCAGAGGAGGTTGTGGAGGCTGGTACAATTACAATATTTAAAATGCATCTGGATGGGTATCTGAATAGGAAGGATTTAACTGATATGTGCCAAATGCTGGGAAATAGGATATGATTAATTTAGGATATCTGGTCAGCATGGACGAGTTGAACCAAAGGATCTGTTTTCAAGCTGTACATCTCTGTAACTCTATGACTCTGAGTGGCCTAGAATTGTGAAAGAAAAGCTCGAGAAACAGAAGGGCTTTAAGGTATCAAAGAGAAAGACTCAACAAGCTTGACAGCATCTGTGGAGAGAAATTCAGTTAATGAGCCCAATTTCAACTTATTAAAGTCTGTTCATTTGCACAAATTTAAGGTTTCTGACCTAAAATGTTAACTCCACACATTCTGCCAGATTTAAGTATTTCTAGCATTTTCTATTCTGATATCAACTTGAGGAACTATTCATCAATAGTTATTTGTTATTAACAGGAGAGGAAGAGTAATTTGGCTCCCCTCTTTTTAATACTCTCTTAGTTGGCAACAAGAAATAATTTTATTTCTTTTTAACATGCAGCCACCATGTTTTAAGTAAGAATACAGTTACTTAGATTGAAATAAGCCAATTACTAAGATTTTCTTCAGAAAAAGAGGAATTTTATTACGTTCTAACCCTGAGAAAAGTAATAAAATGACAGCAATGGAAAAGTTTGCGTAAATCATTGACTTCTCATTGAATATTTTTTTCCCAGGTTGGTTTTAAGGGGTTGTTTTCTGAGATGTTGACAACGAACCACAGAGAGATTAACCATGGGACGTCTTTCAGTTCTGGCTGTTATCAATCCATGTTATTGCTTCTTGCTCTGTTTCTCAAAAGAAGGTGGTGAAATATAGTTTAATGTGTAAATCTGTGAGTGGCTCCATTGGCTTTCCAAGTTAACTGGTAGGTGAGTCTTTTATCTCCAAAGTGTGAAATACTTATACTAAAACTAAAATGGGAGATGTGATTTTCTTGATCCTGACTTGTTACCTGATTTTGATGTCTTTTGTTAAAAATGGTAATTTAAGTGCAGATGGTTTTGCTTATTTCACTGGGTCTCATGAAGCTTGGTGCACTCTATTGTCAGGTAACCACTCCAGCATTTTAAGTACAGGTGGAAGTTAAAATTCAACAGCTCATATTTACCACTAACGTAACATTTGTCAGACATGATTTGTGAATAACAATTTTATGATGGCTGTGATTTGTTAATCCATATTCTTCTGAAATTAATTTAGTTCCTAATTATGGTTTTCGCATGTTTTCCCATTATAGTCACAGCACCCACAAGTTGCATAAATGTTATTTGTTATGAGATATAACCTTCAAATGCAAATTGCTGCAAAAAACTGCAATCAGATGTTGAAAGACACAAAGAACTCTTGCAGGAAAATTTAAAAAAGATCATTCAGAAAGTTCAGGGAGCTAAAAAAGATTTCCATAAACCAAAAAAAAAACCTAGAAAATAAAGCAATTGGTCTGGAAATACTGAAGGCTGAGCAGGACATAACATGGCATGTTGTACAAAAAAAAACAGAACTGCAAATGCTGGAAGTCAGAAACAGAAACAGAAATTGCTGTAAAAACTCAGTAGGTCTGGCAGCATCTGTGGAGAGAAAGTAGAAATAACCTTTCAGGTCCAATGAGCCTTGAAAGGTCACTGGAGCTGAAGTGTTAATATGGCACCTTGTACAGTTGGTAAGGGAGATTTTGCACATTAAATCAAAACTTCAAAAGCACATGCTTCAAATAGAAGAAATGAAAAAGGAAATGAATAATAGCGCTGAGTTCATACAGCAAAAATAGTGAACAGCACATTCAACATCAAATCACACGCAGAGAATGATTTCCTGAAGACCAATAAGAAACTGAGAAATGCTTGAGTGTTTAAAAGAAGTATGAAATGTAAGAAGTTAAACAGACAGATCAGATATATCAGGAAGCTGAAAAACCAGTAGAAGACAGGCATAAACAGAAAGGGAAGAGAAACCTAAGTTTCAGATTTATAATATAGAGCTCAAAAATAAGTATGGACGGGCTAAAGACATATTGCAGGATGCTGCTTTTGGTCAAATGAAGAGGCACAATGTTTCAGTATCTAAGCAATACCATGACTAATGTTTTTGGGAAAAGGTAAACAAAAGACTTAGGGGAATTAGTTTAATTTATTAAGACCGCCAGTCAGATGGACAGCTTTTTAAAAGAGATGTATTTTCCAAATACAAGTTGAAATAAACTGGTAGACAAAATTTCATTTAGAATCATACAGTACAGAAACAGACCCTCTGGTCCAACCCGTCTGCACTGACCATACATCTTAATCTGACAGAGTCCCATTTGCCAGAATTTGGCCCATATCCTTCAAAACCCTTCTTATTCATATACCGTTCCAAATGCCCTTTAAATGCCCGACTCCACTACTTCCTCTGGCAGCTCGCTTCATTCATACACCACCCTCGTTGTGAAAAAGTTGCCCCTTAGGTCCTTTTTAAATCTTTCCCTTCTCACCTTAAACCTAGTTTTGGATTCCCACACTCTAGGAAAATGACCTTGGCTATTCACCCTCTTCATATCCATCATGATTTTATAAACCTCTATAAGGTCACCCCTTATTTGTTAAAATTTTATTTGTTATTAATAAGTGTTAACATTTTTAAACAAAACTGATATCAACAAAGATCAGATATTAGTTAACAGGAAACTAATACACCAATCGAAAGCAAAAGGCAAGATTTGCATTCACTGACTAAAACAAACAAAATATGTCTTATGAAATGCTATTACAGAATTTTCTCCTTTGTGGGCAGTCCCTCAAGACTGCGGATACTTTTCTTCCACTGTTGTGTCTCCTGAGGTGATTACATAGACCAATAGTGGATCTGCAACACTGCCACAGGTGGAATTTTCTGAATAGGGTGGGATGCTCAGGTTTTTACACACTCCTTCTGCTTTTTGCACTTATTTTCCATCTGGGCTTGTTGGAGATGCTCAAAATGATTGGCTAATTTCATAAATGCTTCTCCAAATTGGATGGTATTGGACTGGAGATTCCAATGAATCAGTGGGGATATTACTTTTTTTTTCAGGGAAGATTTGAGGACATCCTTAAGGAGTTTTTTGAGGAAGATATTTTCAATAACTTTCCATGTGCCAGACAGCAAGAATACCATTCAATCAATCTTATTTCCTTTCTTTAAGAACGACGAAGAGCTAAGAATGGAGTGGCTCTCATCATGGTCAGAGAAGCAGTGAGCACTCATTTGAAGAAGCAACTTGAGGATCTCCACAGTTGTCACTCAGCTCTCGATGTGAGTGATCTTGACCACCTGTCACCATCTCAGAGCAAACCCAACATGACATGAGATCGAAAAGACCATCCAACAGCTGAGAATTAACAATGCTGTCGGTGTCGAAGAAATCCCTGCTTGAATACTAAGATATGCTGGAGAAGCGCTCCTGTCCTATAAACATGATCTCTTCTCCTCACTGGAAGGAGGAGAACATGCCAATGGATTTCGAAGGTGCTATATTGTGACTTTTACACAATGTCACACTTTCGATTGATATGTCACATTACATAAACATCCGTGTTGTTCTCAACAGTATCTGCTTGGTGGTTAACATAAAATCACTTCCCTCTTATCTTACATAGCAGTAACTTCCTTTTGTGAATCTCAAAACGTAGTTCTATGTTTCTGCAAGACAGTGTGATAATATAGACACCCCATCCCACTGTTACTCCACAAATGGAAAATGTGTCACGTGGGCCGGTTTCCAAGCTGAGGTGTCTATCTGGAATTCTGTTTCAGTTTGAGTCAAAAGCACATTTTAAAACATGTAAAGTTCTGTTGAAGACAAATTATTAAAGTCGATTGTAAATTGAACTGTTCAAAATTAAATTAACAAAGAGGGATTGTTTCTCATTATTATATATTAAGAAAGGTGTATTCATTCAAATGTGTAAGTAACCTAGCATACTGCTTTACCACAATGTTGGATGGAACAAATAATGCGTTAGTCAGCATCATATCATCGTGTAGGGTAACTGGAGAATTTTATTCGATGAAACTCTAGCATTCAAATTTAGAAGGAATCATTATTTCAAACTTCTGAGAACTACAAAACCTAACGCTCTTACTTAGTGTTCAGACGGTACCTGCCTTTTTAAAAAAAAAGTTCCGAATTCAATATCGATACCGATAAGTTGAAGAACAATAACAGCCGTCATTTATTGTTGATGTGTCGGACAAATCTTTGCTGCACCGGACACCGCCGCCGGTCGCTTCCCCCCGTTAATTTTTCAAACGGCAAACGCACGCGAGTAGCGGCAGCTGATCGTTGCGTCAAGGCAGACCCCAGCGCGCGTGCGCATACGCCGCTGTGCGAGGTGGGTGAACAGGGCGGATGTGGGGCTGGGCCTGTTGCCATGGTGGGTGGGCGTAGGGTCTCGTCATTTGCTGGTGCGGTGCGCGCCCCTGTTTATTTATAATTCGTTTTAAGGACGAATTACGAAGCCGAAAGGGGGAATTTGCAAGGATAGGGGAGTGGTTGGATGAACCTTGTGTCAGGAGGGACTGCTGCGACTCGAGACGCCTAACGGAAGAGCGGGGGGGGAAAAGAGTGGAAGGAGTGAGGAGAGTTAAAGGCCTGGGACCAGGACGAAGGGCTCGCCATTCGACCGAGACCTGTCAAGGGTGGATAATAGCAGCGAGCACCCGTGTAACTCCTTCTGAGGCTGTAGGGAGGTGTACAGTGTGTCATCTGAAGTTCAGGCAGGTATAGGGTGAAGGAGATTGCCGATTGTAACTTTGTGAGAGCCTCCGGCCCTGTTCAGACATGGAGCCCGAATGCAGCTTGGAGTACTTCTCGGTGCAGGTGGCTCAGAGGGATGTTAGTCGACGGCTACAAGTCGGCCAGGAGCTGATCGATTACTTGGGTGATCCCAGGAGATCTGTGGACGTGGATCATGACCAAAAACGGACGCTGGATGATATCGTGGACGAGCTAACGGGATGGGTGAACTCCAGCAACTTCAAGGTAAGAGAAGGCGGAGCCCAGTGAGGCTGCTGAAGTGATTCCCCTGCATCCTTTCGACTTGGATCCATTCTCCGGTTCCCTCTCCTTCATATTGTAGTGGAGGATCCTAGATCCTTCCGGTCCTTGCCACAGAATCCTGCAAGAAACTCAGCTGCTATGGTGCTGAGCTTACTTGTGGCAGTAGTCGGAACATCGCCTGGGAGCTGTAGTCATTAACGGAATAATTGTCCTCAAAGATTGACTTTTGAGAGTATTTTAACAAATGTGCAAATAGCCGCCAGGCATTTCCCGATGTTGCTGAGCAGGTTGCACGGTCTGTGAAATTCATCAGGGACTTCAGACATCACTTGCATCCATTTGCGATCTATGGGGAGGAGATGTACAAGAGTTTTTGTTGATTCACTGCTATAGTTGAGTTGGCAAGTTGCAATGCTTTCGAGTTCCTCGTGTCAATATTCCTGTTGCGCTGCAGTGTCTGGTAGCATGCAGAATGTTGTGACACCTTTTTGATGGTGATATCTCTAAATGTTTACTGCAGTATTCTGTGACATGCAAAGTGCTGCACTGTAACTTGATTTCGGGAATTCTGCCAGCATTTGCACCACCGTTCCGGCGTCGATACTCAAAACTAATTTTATTTAGCTACAATGAGTTGACTTTATTTACACAGCATGAATAAAATATCTGTCCTTAGCGAGCTTCAGTTTCTTTTTCTAACGTGTTTAGCTGGAACACTGCACTGGCAGGTTCAATGAAAAGTCGTCAGAAAGTAGACTGTTGGTTTGTTGTGGAAGTTTTGTAGCGTAATTGATTTCATAAGTGATACGTCTGCGCGTCGATGGCGAACGATACTTTGGAGATCAAGTTTAGAACGAAGTAAGCAGCTAAATTGTAGCTTAAGAATAAAGTCTCAGGCTTTGCATTCTTTGAAATTTAAATTTTTGAGCTGGTCGTTAACAGGAATCGAAGACTTGTGGTTGACCCCATGCAGATGGCCTAAGGGCCCTCCGCTTCTTCCTGTCCCGCAGGCCCGACCAGTCCCCCTCCACTGACACCCTCATCCGCTTAGCCAAACTCGTCCTCACCCTCAACAACTTCTCTTTCAATTCCTCCCACTTCCTACAGACAAAGGGGGTGGCCATGGGTACCTGCATGGGCCCAAGCTATGCCTGCCTCTTTGTAGGATATGTGGAACAATCCCTCTTCCAAAGCTACACTGGCCGTATCCCCCACCTCTTCCTCCGTTACATTGACTGTATCGGCACCGCCTCCTGCTCCCAGGAGAAGCTCAAATAGTTCATCCACTTCACAAACACCTTCCACCCCAACCTTAAGTTCACCTGGACCATCTCTGATACCTCTGTTTCCTTCCTGGACCTCTCTGTCTCCATCTCTGGCATCCACCTGGAAACCGATATCCATTTCAATCCTACCGACTCTCACAACTACCTAGAATACACCTCCTCTCACCCACCTTCCTGCAAAAAGGCCATCCCCTATTCCCAATTCATTCGCCTCTGCCGCATCTGCTCCCGAGATAAGGCATTCTACTCCCGGGCATCCCAGATGTCCTCTTTTTTCAAGCACCGCAACTTCCCCTCCACAGTGGTTGAAAATGCCCTCGACCGTGTCTCCCGCATTTCCCGCAACTCATCCTTCACACCCCTACCCGCAATAACAACCAAAACGGAATCCCCCTCGTCCTCACGTCCCACCCCAGCAACCTCCGAATCTAATGCATCATCCTCCGACATTTCCGCCATCTGCAATCTGACCCCACTACCAAAGCCGTTTTTCCTTCCCCAGCCTTATCTGCTTCCAGAGGGACCACTCTCTCCGTGACTCCCTTGTCCACTCCACACTCCCCTCCAGCCCCACCACCCCTGGCACTTTTCCCTGCAACCGAAGCAAGTGCTACACCTGCCCCTACACCTCCCCCCTCACTCCCATCCCAGGCCCTAAGAAGACCTTCCACATCAAGCAGATGTTCACCTCCACATCTCCTAATGTGGTATACTGTATCTGCTGTTCCCGTTGTGGCCTCCTCTACATCGGGGAAACCAAGCGGAGGCTTGGGGACCGCTTTACGGAACACCTACGCTCAGTTCGCAACAAAGAACTACACCTCCCAGTCGCGAACCATTTCAACTCCCCCTCCCCCTCCCACTC